AAGGTCCAGGACGTTGGAGTTACTGGTGAACTGGATGAATGGAAGAACTCCCCTTGAGCAAAGCCCTACATCTGCTGTCAAGGGAAAGATGTCTGCCTTGGCTTCCAGCCCAAATTCCAGTGGTTTCTGTGGAAGAGGCAATGCCAAGGTTTTCAACCAGCCCTTCAGTTTGGCAGCATCCAGCTTGGGAAACCCAAGAAAGGGCAGATCTTCAAGAAGTACAAACCCTTTTTTTTCTCACTGTAAGGTATCTCAGGTTCAACCACCAAAAAGCACCAACCCACATTGTTTCCAACCCAGAGGACGATGCTGAGGGGAGGAGGGGCTTGTTTGGTGGGGGAGGCTGTGCATGGATGGGGGTGTGCAGTGATACAGCTCCAATTGTCCATCCTGGATCCCACCCATCAAGTTTCCACCCAAACTTTCAGCTGCAGCATTTCCTGATTTAAATCCCAAAGAAGCCACCAAGAGGGAGGGCACTTAAAGGGCACTAAGTCTGTTAATCACAGAATGGTTTGGGATGGAAGGGACCTTCAAGACCTGTTTTTTCCACCCCTTGCCATGGGCAGGGACACCTTCCACTCTCCCAGGCTGCTCCAACCTGGCCTTGGACACTTCCAGGGCTGGGGCAGCCACAGCTTCTCTGGGCACCCTGTGCCAGGGCCTGCCCACCTGAACAGGGAAGGATTCCTTCCCAACATCCCATTTCTTTTCCTCCACAAAAGTCGGTTTGAGAAGGTTCTTTGAAAAGCTGAAACAGCAGCACCTGAAACCCTGAAATCAAGAAGGATCTGCAGCAGAGCAGCTCAGGACCAGCAAAAAAAAAGCGGTGCATCCTGTGGTTTAGCAATAACCTGCACCTGCACAGAGGGGCTGAACCAGCTGAGGAGGAGGAGGGGAGTGAGGAAGGGAGGTTTTTGGGGGGCAGCTGGATCTGTTACCACGTGAAACTGCACATGGAGACACAATTCCTCTGCAACAAGGCTCATCTGCCACCACCAAATTGACTCCTCTGTGGGGACAAGAGGAGAAAACCCCCACGCAGGAAGACATTGCATAGGGTTTATCTGGTGAACTTCAGAAAGGAAAATGCCTCTCCCAGGACAGCTGTCCTTGCAGGGAGCCCCCCAGCCCCCCAGCACGGCTCCTCCTCCCCTGGGCCACCAAGCAAGGTTCCCTCACGTGTTCTGCTTCATTTCCCTCTGTTAAAGCACTAATTGACTGAGCAGAGCAGGAGAGCCCAGACCCCTCCCCTGGGACAGCCCTGTGCTCACAGTGACCCTTGCACAGAGGGTGATGGATGAGGGTTCACCCAGCAAAGCTCTGAGGGATCAGGGCACAATGTTGAGGGGGAAAGCACCACAGCCCACCCCAGCCACGTCCCTGTGCTCTCCCATGTCCCATTCCAGCCACGTCCCTGTGCTCTCCCACATTTCCAGCTGGCTCCACTGTGTCCTGTCCCTCTGCTCTCCCTTATTCCCAGCCTGGCTCTCCCATGTCCCACCCCAGCCACTTCCCACCACTCCCCCGTGTTCACAAGCTCTGAGCCCCCTCCCCTCCCTGAGCCCCCTCCCCAGCCAGTGCCAGATGTGGCACCACAGCTGGACGTGGTTCTTGCTCCATTTCCTCTCCATCCAGGGCACAAACCACCCTTTGGTGGCTCTGCAGATCCTGTGGCTCAGGACCCCAGGGGTCTCTGCTGTCCCTGGGCTGTCCCTGCCCGTCCCTCCTTCCTTGTACCTCATGGGATGTAGCTTTGGCCATTCCTACTCATCCACCAAAGGTCATAAACCCCAACATATCCCTCACCCCAAAGTCTGGAGGATCTAAAAGGTTTCTGCAAGCCCAGAAAACACGAGCAGCTGCTGAGCTGTTCCCTTTGCAGGACCCCCTTCCCCAGCCCTGCCTGTCCCCCCCAAAAAAACTGCAGAGAGGAGGAGGAATGGGAACTCTGAGCAGCAAAACCCCTGCACTGGTATTCTGCTCTTCCTGCTCCTGCAAAGCAGCTTTATCTATCCCAAAATAACCAGGCTGCTCCTGAACACTGAACGGTGTCTAAAGGGGCACCACATCTGGGTGGATGGTCCAGCCCCATCCCATGGTGCTTCCACATCTCCCTGCCCAGGCAGTGCTCCAGCACAGCATGGAATGCTCTTCCCTGCAGCTTCCACCTGCACACAGTGAAGGGAGAAAGGGGGGTGGGTGGAAATAATCAGCCCTCTCAGATGATCCCTGTGCAAAGTATTGACTTTTCAAAATAATCTCCTCGGTGCTGCTGGGCACAGGATTTATTCTGCTCATGATGCGCTTGCAGCCTGGTTGTTTAACCATTCAAACTTGTTCTGACTTCCAAAAGCATTTCAGCCAAGACAGAGGTTTATTTTAATTAAAAACCTATCATCCAAGGTTGTTGTTACTTCTGGTCCTGTTCCTTTCCCCAGGGACTGGAGGTCCTCCACTCTACATCCTGTGGAACACTTGAGCCTGAAGGTCTTTGCACTCAGAAATGGGGCAAAAACTGCAAATGAATGTGAAATTCCACTTTCTCCCCTCTCTTTTCATCCCTGGCAGGGGCACAGTGCACAGATTTGGAGTCTGTTTGCCCAAAAAAAGGAGCTGCTATTTACCAATGCTGATGTTTGGCTTTCCTGTGATGCTCTTGATCTAAATCCCTTCCCAGCCCTGAAAGCCCCTGCAGTGGAAATGCCTCAAACTCACCTGGGCAGAACCCAGCCCTGGGTGCATAACTGGAACTAAACTCGTGTTCCCTCTGGAAAAAACAACTTCTCCTGGCTGAAAATTGATCCAACAGCACCTCTCTGACTGTGAAACAGCTACCCCAGAGCTGCCAACCCCTGCCAGAAACACTGAAGGGAAGCAGCTTTGGGATAGCTGATGAGAGCAGGAGCAGCTCAGGGAAGGGGGACAGAGGTGGTCACTCCAAAAAAACAACCTCAAGCTGTGCCAGGGGAGGTTTAGGTCAGATATCAGGGACAATTTCTTCACTGAAAGGGTGGTCATGCCCTGGCACAGCTGCCCAGGGCAGTGGGGGAGCCCCCACCCCTGGAGGTGGCACTTGGGGACATGGGGCAGTGGTGGCCTTGGCTGTACTGGATTAGTGGCTGGACTTGATGGTCTTAAAAGGGCTTTTCCAACCTGAGTGATTCCCATCAGGAATCCCACTGGAGACAATGCAGAGCTGTAAAGGCTCAAAGAGCAGGTGACTTCTGGCCCTGCAGATGCCCAGGGTAAAGCCAGGCAGGAATGGGCAGCGGGAACCTGCTCCCTGAGTGACACCTGTGCGAGTTTTCCTTGCTTTTTCTTGGGGAAAAAAGCAGCAAAAGGACTGTAGTCTTCACTCCTATCCCAGCAGAAAAGCAGTCTGAGCTGAAGCCTTCCCTTCCAGGGCTTTGGAATCCAGGGAAGCGCTATGGAAAGAGGTGTGTTTTTACCCTTACAAGGAAAAGATCCCAACCATTGTTTCCCAGGGCTGGTGGGAGTCAGTCAGAGCTTTGCTTCCTGCAGGGACCCCCCCAGGGCTGGCCCTGCCCACGGAGGGTTTGGTTGTTGGGAGTCTCTGCTCAGATTTCCCTCATCCCACCCCCACCTGGGGGGGCACAAGGTCCCTGGGAGCACAGGGAAAGCTGAGTCCAGGATCCTGCTGCTCCAAATCCAGAGCTCCCACCCCCTCCTCCTGCCCCTCTTCCTCTGGGCAAAGCCACCTCAGGCATTCCCCTGGGCTGGAGGGTCACTCAACAGCAGCAGCTTAACCAGGAGAATCCTGGAGAGGGCTCCAGCCTGCTCTGCCTCCCCATCCCAGAGCTCAGCTCACGAGCTTGGCTTTCCCAACAGGGCTTTTTGCTTCTCCAGCAGCTCCAGGGAGGGGCTGGAAGGGGAGCCTGGAAGGCTCAGTGGGACTGGGTGGTGCTTCCTCCCCTCCCTGCTGCTCTGCCACGCTGGGATGAGGCTCCCAAGGTACAAAACATTCCTGGTTCTCCCGGTGCTGCCCTTCCTGGTGTCCTCCAGCCCTCACCTCCCCCACATTCGTTACCAACCAGAGAATTCACTGACACCAAAGTCTTGCTTTGACAAGCAAACACTGGGATCCAGAGCAGGATTCCCAGGGTTATTCCTGTCACGTGCCAGCAACAAGCTTTTAGAAGACTTTAAAAATGCTTTTCCAAAGGTCCACCCAGTTCAGTCCGGACTGTACTGGAGGGCAGGCAGTAAAATAAGACAGAAATGCTCATTTCTAGGCTGGGCTCTTGTGATTCCTGGGAACTTGGTCACAGCTGCAGTGTCTTAGCAGGCAAAGGCTGCTGATGGTCAGTGAAAGGAACAGCAACCCCACAGGAAGCCACACATTTAATCCATTGGCAAGGAAAAGTGCAGCACTGTGGGTCTGGAGATGTTTAATCCCTGCCATAACAGCCTGGACTGCTTTTCCTGGAAGCTCTGAAGCTCTTGGAAATCCCGCTGCAAGGCTGGAAAAAAAGGCAGCTCCTACTGCCAGAGACCTGCTCTGAAACCAGCCAGAGCAAACCTCCCTGGGGTAAAACATCCCCTGTGCCAACCCAGCCCTCAGGCTGGCCCTGAGCTCAGCACACAGCACCAGTGCCACCTGATCTCCTGGGCACGAGGGGCATCCCCCACCACAGCCCAGGGACCCTGAGCAATGACACGGTTGTGGAGATTCAAGGTTCCCAACACTCCAAAAACTCGTCAAGGAAAACGCTTTTCTCTTCCAAACCTGAGTTCCAGAACGCTGCTGAAGGTGTTGCAGGAATGTCTGGGCGATTTGTGGTGTCCAGCTCCTCCCACCCACGGGAAGGGCTTTCCCTCCTCCCACGCAGGGCTCAGCTGGACACCCAGCTCAGCACACACCAGGGCCCTTTGCACAGGCATTCACACTTGGAAGACACAGTGTTCTCCTCAACAAATCCATTCTGGAAGCTGCTGAGAGTTGGTTAAAGCTGCACTTTAATGAAATGCTGACTCACCTGCCAGAATATGCTGTCTATTGTGTTCCCCAGGAAGCCGTCCCTGCCCTCCGACGACACCAGCTTAGGGCCCAGGATGGTCATAAATTCATCGAAATCCACCTGGCCATCCCCTGGAATGAAAGAAAAACGTCACAGGATTATGGAGGCAGGGAATAGTTTGGGTTGGAAGGGACTTTTAGAGGCCACCTAGTGCATCTGGAGCATCTTCTGCTGGATCTGCTTGCTCCAAAACCTGGCCAACCTGGCCTTGGACGCTTCCAGGGATGGGGTAGCCACCAACTCTCTGGAAAACCTCTGCCAGGGCCTCACCACCCTCACTGTTATCAAGGAGTTATCCCTGATAATCAAGTTATTATCCCCGAGTGCCAATGTCCATCCTGCTGCTCTGGATCTGCTGCACATCAAGGACCCACTGTGGCACCTCCCCCATCAACCCCATGGTGCTTCCAGACCCAGATCCTTTGACATCCCAAAGAATGGCACCTCCCCCATCAACCCCATGGTGCTTCCAGACCCAGATCCTTTGACATCCCAAAGAATGGCCCCTGCTGTGGCCCATCCACACCTGCAGACAGGACCAGACTAGAGGTGAGCAGGTCATTCCCAGCCCTGCAGAGGCCAATCCCTTCTCCAAAAGCCCTCCTGGCAGGAGGACAGGAGGCAGCAGCACATCCAGGGCTCTTCCCTCACCGCTGCCAAACAGGTCTCTGCAAAACTTTTCCAGGGCCAGCAGCATCCTCCAGAGGGAGGGAGTCCACAGAGCAGAGAGCCAGACTATTGCAAATCCACGAGGCATTTCATTCCAGCTTTCCAGGAGCTCTGGGAAGGCCTGAGTGCTCAGCAGGCACAGCTTCAGTGCCTTTAACAGGGAGAGGAGGTTGTTCCTGCCACTAATGAGCTGAGCTGCTGCTGCCCTGAGCCCCTGCTTGTGCTCCAAACCAGGCACAGGGCTGTCTGGAGGGAGAATCCTATCCAGTGTTACTTTTCCCTATGAGAACTTCTGCCATGAAAATGAAAATGGCAAAAAAGGGGACATTCCTGCCTGCTGAAGGGTCATAAAAATACCTGTTTGTCTGAACAATGTCTAGACCTTCTGAAAATATTTAATCTCCCCAAATCTATCAGTCCACAGGCACACCCGCCTGCACGTCACTGAGGGAGTGGATATATTTGCACTTTTCCAGGTCTGGAAGCACCATCAGCAACTGCAAGAGTTGTAGTTGTGTTTTGTTCTCGTTCAGCTGGACCTGACTGCACCCACCTCTCCAGGCAAAAAATCACCAGGTGGGAGAAGTGTCTGAAACCATTAAACTAAAGCAGATTAAATCATCAGGTGGGAGAAGTGTCTGAAACCACCAGACTAAAGCAATGCCAGGGCTGCTGTTCAAATGCCACCACTGCCAGCAGCACTGCCCCACCCTCCCAAGCACCACGTGTGTCTGTCCTCTTTATCACATCTCAGATGCTTGATGTGAGCAGATGCACCCACTGAAATCCCTCCTCATCTCCCCAGATAATAAGCAGAGTCAAAGAAGTGATCTCCAGTCAGGGGGGCTCTGCCTGGAATTGCTTGCAGGGAATATCCCGGGGCTGAGCCAGTGAGAGGAGCCCAGCAGGGATTCCTGGTGGCTTTGATCCTGGAACGTGCCCAGAGATCCCATCTCACTGCTAAAGCTGCTCACACCTTCAGGGCTTTGCAGGGCTGAGCCCTTGCAGCTTTTCTGCATTTCTGGGACAGCTGATTAAGCAGGGAAGGAAAGGGGTGGGCACCCCATCCCCTGGCTATGGAAACATCTGCTCCCTCTGCTCCCCCCTGGGAACAGCATCAAGTGGGATTGGATCAGACACAGAGCCAGGAACAAATCCATGCAAACTGGGATGGTAATTTCCTGGAATTAGCCAGATTAGGGAGAAAACAATCTGCATTTCAAAGAGGCCCTGCACAGATTTGGGCTGTGCACCTGCAGCCCCCAAACTCTGAGTTGTTCAGTTTGGGTTCTCTACGCTGTCCTTTCACCCCCAGAGGACAGGCAGGACTTCACCCCACTCATGACCCCTGAGCAGCAGGTGCCAGGACTGCTGGACTCTGGGGCTGACTCAGAACAAGGCTCTGGGCAGACCCTGCTCCTGATGGCCCCGTGCCTTTGCCAGGGATCATAACTAACTTCACAGGCTTTAATTATCAGCTTCACTGTAGCACTTGCCACAACCTCGGTAGAAAGATGCCATTAAAAAATGCATTGTCCCATTATTGACTGCTTTTTCAATTAAAACTCTTAACTGGCAAGGAAACTAGACCCCGAAACACTTTGCCAGGTAGAAATATCCCCTTAACATTCACTTCAAGCTGCAGAGAACAAACCTTCCTGCCATCAGGGTCTCAGGAGACAGCAACATCATAACATCAAGAAAGAGAAATCACAGTTTTGTCTGAAAATTCCTTTTGCACTGTGTAACTGCCAGGAGAGAAATATAAAAATCTACACACAGGTTCCAAGCCTGCAATGAGAAAATGCACAGGGGTGCTTTCCACAGCCATGGCATCACCAGGTATTGCCCAGTACCCACAGCCCATCAGATCCTGGGAGCACCCAGCCTGAAATGTGTGTTGGGCTCAGTCAAAAGGTGCCTTCCTCGTCCTCCTCCTCCTCTTCCTCACAGTCACAGGGTGATGTGAGGTACCAGCTGTGTACCAGCTGATGAGGTACCACAGGTACCAGCTGATGTGTGATGCTCACACTGACCATCTGCTCTCCACTCTGCTCTGGAGGCAAATCACACCCCCACACATCTCCACGTTCCTCTGCTGGGCCCACAGATTTGCTGCTCTCCTGGGCTCCTGGAATCCCAGGATGTGCTGGATTGGAAGGGACCCCCAAGGATCCTGGAGTCCAACCCCCAGCCCTGCACAGGCCCAGCCCCAAGAGTCCCCCCCTGTGCCCCAGAGGATCATCCAAACCCTCCTGCAGCTCTGGCAGCCTTGGGGCTGTGCCCACTGCCCTGGGGAGCCTGTTCAGTGCCAACCACCCTCTGGGGGAAGAACCTTTTGCTGAGATCCACCCTGAGCCTGCCCTGACACAGCTCCAGCCATTCCCTGGGGGCTGAGCTGTTGATATTCAGAGTGAGCCACGTGTGGCTCATTCACAAACTAATTCTGAGCTGGTTTAGGGTGGGCCTGGCAGTGCTGGGTCAGTGCTTGCACTGGTTGATCTTAGAGGTCTCTCCCAGCCCTAATGATTCCATGATGCCAAGTCACTCAAACATGGCAAGAACTTATTTACAACCTGGGAGGGCAGAGAAACCTTGAGGCACAGGGGGGTGGCTCCAGTGGGACAGGGGGACTGGCAGATGGCAAGGGGGGTGAGGAGCAGAGGGGTTCCAGGCAGGATGGCACCAAGGGACAGGTCACTGCTTGGGTGGGCGCTGAGCAAAGCACCAGAGCTGAGCTCAACCCCTGGTTTAACCCACCTAAACCACTTACTGGTTTCCTGACAGTTCTGCCCTCACATCTTTCTCCCTGGCAATGCCTCCTCCTCGCCCTGGCATCGGTGTCAAAGAGTCCCAAGCAGGGTCACAACCACATGGCTGAACCTGGCACGACTAAAGGATGACTCAGAACATCTCTGGCCACATCAGCACAGACAACTCAGATCTGCTCAGAATTCCCAGCCCCTCAGCACGGGGATATTGTGCTCATTTGTGCTCCCAGACACCACAAAGGTTGGCTCCACTGTCCCAGTTCTCACAAAAAACAGGCAAATGTGATAATGAAAAGGGATAACAACGAGCTGTCCACAGCAACAGTGGCAGCATAATTGTCCCACCACGGAAAAAGGATGCTGAAGGCACCCACAGCATCTCTGGGGTCTCTGGGAACCTTCTCAGTGACCAAAAACTGGCCAACAAGGGGTCACAGACCTGCCAAAGTCACCCTGGGCACTGTTTGCTTGGGGGGTGCAGAAAGGCCTCGGGGATAACTCCACCTGGAAGAACATTTGCTGTGCTGTGAGCCCAGTTTGGCTGCTCCCCTGGAGCTCCACAGAGCCACAGCAGAGAATAGCTGGGCCCACAGAACATCCAGCACATTTATTCCAAGTGTGGGCATGGCAGGGGGTTGGAATTGGATGATCTTCAGGGTCTCTTCCAACCCAACCCATCCTGTGCTTCTCAGTGCACCAAAGATGATGGAGCAGCAGCTCAGAGCAGTGTGGAGCTGGGAAACCTGGGGCTTTTCCAGCTCTTCCAGACCCTGCAGCCCAGAGAAATTTGCTTTGTACTTGCCTTCCCCCAGGAGGGGGTGTCTGCTCCTTTGAAAAATGCCCATTAGGTTTTCTAAGTACACCAGTGGCATCACAGAATCATTAAGGTTGGAAAATCCTCCCTTCCACACCAGTTGATTCACATCAGGGCTTGTGATTCCAGATCCCCTGGACAAAGAAGTTTCAAGTGCCATCAGCTGTTCTTGCTGGTTCTTCACTGGTGTGTAAGAGCTGAGCACAGAAAATCCCAACCCTCTCTCTAAGCTGGTGAGTTTTCATCTCCACACAAGGGATTTCATCTTCCCTCAGACCCCTTGATGGGAAGAAGGGAAAGTTGCATTTGCTGGGGAATGTTTGGAAGGAAAAACACAGGCAGAGCTCTGCCATCACCACATCCCACAGTCCCAAATGGGTCAGTGTGGAATGGACCCCAGTGGGTCACTGGTCCCACCTCCCTGCTCAGGCAGGGCCAGCGCAGAGCACATGGCACAGGATTGTGTCCAGAGGGCTCTGGAATATCCCCAGGGAGGAGACTCCAGCCCCACAGCCCAAAATACCCCCAGCTGCACTTTTCCACCAAGCCAAGCTACACCCACAGGGCCTGAACCCCACCCTGCCTTGTCCTGAGCCCACAGGATCAGGAAGAGTCTGCCAGGCAGGGGAGTAGGAGCCAGTAGAGGACTGCAAATCCCCACATCCCAGGGAGCAGCAGCCTCCTGCAGACTCTCCTGTCACAGCTCTTGTGCTTTGGAGGAATAATGAAATGCAGCAGCGTGAACCCACCTCACCCCCCTCCCCAGGGGAGAGCCAACCCTCAGCCCTCAGTCAATCCCTGTCCAAAAATCTCCTGT